TGTGTGTGTGTGTTGTGTGTGTGTGTGTGTGTGTGGTGTTGTGTGTGTGTGTGTGTGTGTGTGTGTGTGGTGTGTGTGTGTGTGTGTGTGTGTGTGTGTGTGTGTGTGTGTGTGTGTGTGTGTGTGTGTGTGTGTGTGTGTGTGTGTGTGTGTATGGGGGGGTAGGGTGCATTTCGAAAGAGATGCTGAGTGAGCAAGTGAACGAGTAAGAGAGAGGCAGGCGATCTGAGATTTTTCCTCCTGGGCAACACTCTTTTGAAACGCCTGCTGCATGCAGATTAACTCTTACAGGTAGAGCAGCTGTGCAGCATGAGAAGCAATGATTATAATAATCTCCATAAACTAGGGTACACAGTGTTTAACCCAATTCATCTTTTACACCCTTAACTGTTTATGCTGATACGATATAACAAATTATTCTATGGCAGAATAACATTATATTGCTTAGCACAACAATGCTTGTTTTAATTTTGGATTATTATTATGTATTTATACAGTATATTCAATCACAACTACAGTATTACAGCTCATGGAGGTGGAGCAACCTTTTTGGTTGGATTATTCCTTAACATTGAATCATATTGCATAACATAATCACATACTCAAATCTCAAAAGCAAAGGGTGTGCAATTAGGACACTGAGTTAATCATCTGTGTCCTTGATTTTTCTTTGTGAATTTGTGTGGGGGGAATTCAAAGAGTACATGTATTTAGTTACTTTAAAACAGTAGAGATGACTAAGCTGTGTATCATCATGGTTCAACACAGAAAAGCTAAATTATTTAATGAGCAGGGGGATCTGCTCTATGTTCACAGACACAATACATTGTTCTCCTTCTTCACTTTTAAATGCATTATAGCAACTGTACATCAGACTATATATAGCAATGTTAAAAGCGTATTAACCAATGCCTCTTGACCTTAAATCTCTGCCCACATCCCAAATGTCGCCACTCCAGTGTGAATACAAAGCAGAGTTTTATAAGTCCTCAAGAGCAGTTCACCAATGAGCCACCGGGGGGAGAACACAAACTTCAAAAACCTATTGCAAAGAATGATTTATATATTACTGATCATCTTTTCTGGACAAGGATGTTTTTTATCTTTTCAATTGTTTCTTGCTTGTATAAGTATTTGTAATGTTGACGGAAGATACAGTAATGAATATATAATAAAGGGAATGGAAACTGAATGCATGCAGAGGCTCAGTGGTCAAGAAGGTTTGACCATTGAAATGTTGATTAGTTATCTGGAACCTCTGATTTGACCATGTTGTTTTCTCTTTTTAGGCTAATTCAATCAAAAGATTCTGCCTCAGGCTTTAGCCGCCTCTGAATCTAATAAGTTAGTGTGTATATAAAAAGGACAAATAGGCTAGGTCTGCTTTTAAAAAAAGAAGAATCTGCCCCTACAGTACGTGTTTAGGCTGCCTCTCCAGCCTTGTCACTGCTTCTACCATCATTTCATCTCAACTCAACAGCACTTCAGAAATGTTCCTTTTCATTTTCAGAGGTATGAGAAGTTGCAGGAAATGAATGCAATGCTTCCAGCCTGTCTGATTCAGTCTTCAGATGACCTGCATAAATAGCACATTTAGCTGTATGCAATTTACCCAGTTTCAAAGGTTCACTGTTGTATATAGTCTGCAGAAAAACCTTTTTGGGTCAATTTTCTGCAGATGAAAGCAATGCGTACAATGGTTTTGTTACAACCCACCAGAAGAAAGAAACTGTGTCTGAAATGTCTGCTCTGCTCCGAATGAATTTCACACATTCAGGCTTTGCAAAGTGCCTCAATTACTTGCTTTAGCAGAGATGATAGGAGTTTTAAAAACGTTAACATTTGATTGGGAGGCTGTGGCGCATTGGACTAGTGCGTTGGTGTTTGGATCAGGGTAGCACAGGTTCAAACCCCACTGCAGTCAGCATGTCGTTGTGTCCCTGAGACACTTCACCCCAAATTGCTCCTGTGGGGATTGCCCACAGTATTGAGTATGTAAGTCGCTTTGGATAAAAGCGTCTAACAAGTAACATGTAATGATTGAGTTTCATGAACAACATTTGATCATGTTTTTATAATGGGACCAGAGTCTTGAGGTTATCCATCGATTAAATAAACCCTGAAAACTGTAAATGGAAATGGAAAGCACACCTTGAAGGAGTTGGTGTATGTTCAACATGCAGTTACTTCCAAAGCATGAAATAGATCTCTTCTTGTGCAGCTGAGCACAATTAAAAAATACAATTACTTAAGATGTGTTTATATTAGGGCTGTCAAGTTAACGCGTTAATAACGCGTTAACGCAAAAAAAAAAAAAATTAACGCCACTAATTATTTTAACGTGATTAACGCATGTGTATTTTTTTTCCTCGGCCGCCCCGTAGTTTCAAAGCGCATCGAGTTTAAAATACCATCTACAAGCTGATGCTGACAGCCCCGCTCCTGCTGCCTGCTTGCGGCAGACCACACTTCCACGCTCACCGGCAGGCACCGACTGGCTATTGGGAGGACCGGGAGGGTGTGTGTATGTGTGGCCCGAGCGAGCGAGAGAGAGACCTTACGTGCATTGTTGTTGTTAGCATCTGGTGCTAGCTAGCTGCGCTAACGGATATAAGGAGCTGTTTAAATGAAAACAGAGCAGCGACATTTCGCCACAACTGCGCCGAGCACTTGACTTTATGCAGGAAGCCAGACAGTGGGACATTGTACGAAAAGTCAGCACACTCAGCACGGATAGTACGCAACATGATTGCAGCGTCCAGGCAGCTCCGGTTCGAGCATATGCCTTGAGTTGCACATAGCTCCAACGATCCATCACGCGCACACACACACACACACACACACACACACACACACACACACACACACACACACACACACACACACCACACACACACACACACACACACACACACACACACACACACACACACACACACACACACACACACACACACACACACACACACACACACACACTCTGTATTGTATTATTGTATGAGAGGTTCCAGGTTGAATTGAGGCGAACATTTGTAATGTTCAGAGGTTGTTGTGTTTAATATTCATGAGAATATTTGTCATTGTTCAAATGATAATAAACATAGCATAAAGCATATTTGTCCACTCATATGTTGATAAGAGTATTAAAAACTTGAAAAATATTCCTCTAAGCTACATTTAGAACAGATCAAAAATGTGCGATTAATTTGCGATGAATCGCGATTAACTATGGACAATCATGCGATTAATCGCGATTAAAAATTGTAATCGACTGACAGCCCTAGTTTATATCAATCCTGAAAGAGGTAATACATTCCTATATGAAATGTGTTTGTTTTGTGAGATTTATCAAAGCTTCGTGAACCCAGGAGACAAGGTGTGAAGAGAACTGAGGCAAGCAGCTTGATGATGAACTCTCTGCAACCTCCCAGCTCTTTGCAAGTTGCTTCTATACATCAGCTCCCACCCATTGATATCAGCACTTCATGGCTTAAATAATTCAGCAGAAAATCACGGTGCTACCTGGTTCTCTGCAGATACTGGCATTTGATTATAATGAGACACAGGAGAGGAGCAAAAATAGCACATCCACCAGTTAACATTGAGATTGTTTAGATTAAATACAAAAGGCTAAACAGAAGGTGATGCAATTCTAGTTTAAAAAAAAATCTTTAACACTGCAAAGATGTTCCTTTTTAAGTAAATCGTGTTATAATAATAAAACAAGATTACAGTGAACTGTTGCATTGCATAATCCTTTAGTAATACAAATAAATTGCATGACATCCTCTATTAGCTACATACATTTTTAAGCGTAAATAAAGTAATTCATGTTGGAAAAGGCTCAAAGGCATCCGAGGCAGAGCTCCTGAAAATGGTTTCACACTATGATCAGCTTTGGGCTTTTTGCTCGTAATGGATAATATTAGCATCAAATGTCTTTTTATTTTTCGGAGACTGCAAATGATAAACTATACAGTTATGAACAGTGTCTTCCCTGCATAGCATCACAGTGTCAGTGTGTCGAAGTTGTGGAAAACAAGGGTGAAATGAAAAAAGCCACCCGCCCCAATCTCCATCCCACTATGAGCGTGTTTCCTCCCTCCTACAACATGCTTAGATATCTAGTCTCTTGGGATACAACTGATCTCTCATGGACATGAAAAAAGAGCTGTGGAGAAATATCAAAGAGCATTATCTGAATCTGAGAGAGAGGAGGAAATCACTGGCTTTGTGAGTCGAGTGTGAACATGAATGTGTGCCTAATGGACGGAAAGTGTCACCACTGCTTTGGAGCTGCCACATGTTTTGTGTAGCTTTTCTGTATTGGTATATGGATGGATAGTAAATTGCTGTATTGTTAGAAGTACTTTAAAAAGGGCCAATTTGAGAAAAGGTGGCACAAAAAGAAGAAAAGAGTGAATGCAACAAAATCACATAATGGTTTTTGGAAAGGAAATTGCATGAACAACAAATCTTGGACTCAGTACAAAACAGTGCATCATTGTTGTATTGATTCAAGTCTCTATATATTGCCTATCATTTAGAACGAAAATCTGAAGAAAGTTGTCTTATACACTTTTTCCCAGTTCCAATTCGTACTCTCTATGTTGCTTTTGACAAACAGCAGATATTCAACCTGGACACAATGTATGCAGTGCGTCTGGACATAAGATAAACGTTGCAGTTTATCAATTATACATGCAGAGAAATTAAGACTTAATTTATAACTTTCTTATAATATAACACACTAAGTAAAAAATTGCACTGCTTTATGCTAATTCATATCCAGACGCCTTTTATTACATTTATTACACTTATATGAATATCCAAAATGTTTTTTCTCATAACCTATAAGGATATCTTTCTAGCTAAGAATCATTGTAATGCAAACACATGTTGACTGTGGAAGAAATTCATGAAACAGAGCTGGAGATGCGTTTGAAAACTTCTCAATCAACTGAATTTAGTAAAGGGAACTTTATTATTGACTCCGTATATTGTTTCAGAGTATCAGGAATAAATATCAATACGCATTTCAGCCAATATTCTTGACCCTAACTATCTAAAATAAAGAGTTTCCAACCAATTCTGCAAATCAAACAACTTTGACTTTTATTCAATCCATGTAAGGACATCAGAGATGCATTTTGAGACAAACAAGAACATGTTATTAATCCAGTGCAGTTAAGAGAAGACATTTTCTTTTTCAACTGTCAGCTGGGTCATAAATCTTCCCCCTCTGTGTGAGATAAGGCCTCTCTTGGCTCCTCAGACTGTGGTGACTCTCATGACCAGCTCTCTTGTGCTGTTGCTGGGCTGGCTGCGGGGCTCCGGCTGCCTGAGGTTGCTGAGGAGATGGAGGATGTTGTAGGGGCCGTGTTGGTCTGGCACTGCGCTGCTGTTAGGATCCAGATGTGCTCCCTGTCCTCCTGCAGGCGTCACCGCGGTGGTAGAAATGGAGCCATCGGCTGTGGAGGCTACCACCATCAGCGAGGAGGTGGAGGTGGACACTCCGACCTCAGTTTGGTAGCCTGGGCTGGGCTGAGACACAGTTCTGTCCACAGCTTTCTTCAGGTCCTCATTGTCCATAGACTTGATATAGTTCAGGACTTTCCACTGCTGGTTCACAGCCTGCCAGCGGTGGAAGATTCGAAACACAGAAGGTCCCTCGTGGACGATTAACGCTGCGGAGATCAGAGCATCAATTAGACAATGTCACTGCCTGGCAGCCGTCTTAATGACACCTCAAAGTGATATATATCTCTGCAGTGGGTGCTAAAGGCTGCAGGAAGTATTAGCAGACAACAAAGCAACTTATCTTTACAGTATGGCACCATAATCCTGAGATAAGATTTTTATTTCTTGGAGAAATTGTAGACGTGGCACAATTTATGACACAGCAATACTCACTACTTTTAGATTAAGGTTAGCAAAAGTGATGCATCTGTTCTCTGGGGTTGTTTGATAATATCTTATCACATTTTAAAATTGCTTATTGATTAATGTTCATTGAACTCGGTATCTGGAAAATTGAAATCAATCTGTAAAGAGGTGCTTAGACCTCATTTTCTGTACTGCAAATATTTCATTTTCAAGTCATGCAGAGAGAAATACTGTAAGAATGGGATGTTTTGTAGCCCGCTTAACATTTGAGCTTATTACCATCCGTACCATTCATCATCCCTACAGCAGGTATACAGAGCGGCATCCTCATACAGCTAATGCATTTCATTGTTTTCTTATTACAGTTATGGTACAATATTGTCCTATGGCTCACTGCCGCAGCAATCAGCTTAAAACGGATGCTGAATAATTCCATGCCTCTTTTATATTATAGAGATTATTGATCCAATCCAGTCCCAGTCTGTTTTTGTGGATGAGTGAAAGTCAGATCTTTCAGTCTGCTAGGTGAGAAGTTAATCTCTGTAAAGTGCAGAGCTAATGACTCCTCGCCACCAAACCGGAGACAATCAATCCACTCTTCCTCTTATCCAGCTGTCTGCTGCAGTGGCATTTAGAGTTTCCTAATGTGACGGAAACTGTGTGTGTCCAAAATAGCTGCAGCGGCACGAGGAGGACGCTATACAAGTCTGAATTTGGACTCCCACCCAAACCCAGAAGATGATTAAGATATCTTTGATCCACTTTTCTCCTGTTGTTTTACATCAGCTCACAGTGGTCGTCAAAGTTTGCCTGCATTTGCCGTTGCAGTTTGTATTATACAGTGAGACACATTTTTAAATATATGCCATGAACTCTGCTGCGAAAACTGAATGCTCAATGTTTAAATGTTTAATTAAAGAAAGCTATGACTAATATTATAACTGTGATTTGTTAGATAGTACAACAATATTAATAACGCTGGACAAACAATTACGTCTGTAATACAGAAATAAGACTCCACACTTTCATATTTATATTATGCAGTCTGTGATATAGATTAGTTGTATTTATTGTCAACAGTGTAAACTGCTCATGTCACAGCCGACGGGCATATTTATTGACTGGAAGGTAAATCTTTGACCTTTGTTATGTTTGCTTTGAATGCATAATGCACCAGACTGGAAACACACAATATCATTCTCAGTCTAATGCACTCGTTAATTCCAAGAGGAAGAGAAATGTCATTAAACAAGTCAATGTAATGATCTAGCACCTCACCGATGCATACGATGTCCATGAAGCCGTACATGCCGTAGCAGATCTGGAACAGCAGGTCTTGTCTCTGCCAGCGGGCTGACGGGCTGAAGGAGGACCACACCAGCCAGGAGATACTGGCCATCAGGAACAGGGATCCCAAGATGGCCGCTGCTATCTGCACCTTCTCTATCACCGTCAGGGAGATGGCTTGCCACTGCAGGAACACACAGACCACAGTAGGGCTCTCTTACTTTAATTCTCACTTCTCTTTCACACTGAAGCATTGACTTTAATTAAATGTATTATGTCAACAGATTTCACATGACTGTATTAGGTTAGGTGAAAGCAATAATATTAAGTTGAACCTATTTAAAATTAAGATTATTGCTTTCAACTAAATGTATACAGTGATGTGAAATCTGTTGACATAATAGAAAGCTATGATTAAAATAAAATCAATATATAAGTTTATCAGGCTGATAATGATTAAACTCCTAAATGCTGCTGAGGGAGGGGAAATACAGTTGTGCATAATATGTGTTTGCAAAACATTCACATTATTTGTACCTGTCATTTAGTTAAGCATTTGCAGATTTGTTGATATAAAAAAACATTCAGGGAACGATACAGCTGAATATGAAGCACATATCAAAAAGTGTTTTTTCATATCTCAGTGATGCCTGAAAAAAACCCTTTCAAAACTCATTTCTACTCAGCCTATCAGGAAAGTCTAAAACTGAGAGGAAAGTCGCTTATGAAATCTTTCTGTTCTGGATATCAGAGGGGAAAGCCCTTTTTAATTAAAAAACTTTCATCTTTAGTCGAACTCCTCGGTCTGTGATCAGATTATAGCGTGATTCCTAAAAATAAAAATAAAAATTGTGATTTGTCTCAAATACATTTTGATGTAAAATAACAAAAAGGCATCCAAATGAGTCCCAGCAGAGAACAGCCTTTTGCTATCAACTCCCATGATGATAAACACCGACAATTGTGTTATGTGACAGACATTTTAGTTCTAAGTGTTTTTCAGTTTTTTTTAGTTAAGCTTTTTTATAGTTACCCCTCATTATCTTGACTTTCTTAACGCCTTTTTTCTAAAACCCTTCTATACCTTTGTCATGATTGCCAACTAGTTAGTCATTTCACAAAGGGATAAAATCACTGCTTTTCAATCAGCTCTTTTCCTTTTTAAATGTCTACTGTACATTGCTGCTCTTTACAAAAACAGCTCACCTGTAGTGGGTTTTTGGTGCTGATGGCAATGACCTGATATTTGTAGTAGCAGAGCTCACAGGCCCAGGATCCTCTCTCGCTGATCCACTTGATGAGGCAGGGGTGGTGGGTGCAGCGCACTGATCCGCTGCACCGGCAGGGGCTCAGGAGCTCCCCCTGTGGGAGAGAGGTCATCAATACCAGCAAACACAGGACGAAGGTTCTCCAAGATTCAGATAATTTCAACACAAACATTGACAGTCCGTCGCATATATATGCTGATATACTGGGTTGGGTTTTCAAGCAACAGAATAGATGTTTCAATGAAATGCTGCCAAAAACAAGAAGAACATTTATACATTTTTCAGCACATAATATTGCATTCGGCCATTAGGAGCAGCCGGAGCAGTGATTTATGATTCAGAAGAAACGCCTCTGTGTAGCAATCATTTACCTGCTGATAATCCTTTGTTTTCTCATCTTGTATACTCCCTTTAACATGCAATATACTGCAGGTTACACTATACACACATATATATATTTATGCAGTTCTTTGTGCCTGCTTATTGATTTTTTGAGAGCTCTGCATGCACAGTTAGATAAGCGTGCAAGAGTGCAAGAGTACACACACACACACACACACACACACACACACACACACACACACACACACACACACACACACACACACACACACACACACACACACACACACACACACACACACACACACACACACACACACACACCACACACACACACACACACACACACACACACACACACACACACACACACACACACACACACACACACACACACACACACACACACACACACACACACACACACACACACACACACACAGGCTACACAGCTCTGCACAGTCATAATACAGCAGAGTTCAGGTGTGAAATTAAAGCTTTGCCTCACATCAAGTTGACAGGCATAATGCTTGATTTCCACACTTGAAGTGGAGGATTAGTCACTGAAGCTTTTATCAAAGAGCAAACCACAACAAAGCTGCGATGAATGTACACTAGCTGTCACATATACATATTATTTTGCAGTTGTAATATGGTAACTCCACACAGACCGAATAGGAAAACACACACATTTTGTGCATTCCTTTTCTACCTGGCCCTGATCTTTATTAAAAGGAAAAGCTAAAATCTTGTGTCATCCATTTATATATCAGAGCAATTCAAACAAAATGTAGATGTATTGGGAAAAATAATATGCTTATTCTTATGTTAACAATCTTGAAATGTATTTTTTGAGGTCAGTCAAAATATAATTGAGGACATTTCAAGTCTGCATGGTGACAGAAACATAGGGTTGTTTCACTGACAGTGGGCTTGTATAGGGTGGTTAGCCTTTAGGCCTCAGTGGCCAGAGGTATATAAGCTGTTGGAGAGGAGATCTGTTTAGTAAAGCATTTGAGCAGGGCAGAAACATCAATTTACTCATGAAGAGGATCTCAGCGGTCGGCTCGTGAACTATGGAACCGTGTGAATATTTAATGAAGCATTACTGTCAGGGGAATGCGCTGAGATTTAGAAGCCCTATCTATATCTTGACCTACACGTGTTTTCAGTTTATCCAGTGAGGCTTTACACGTTTTAAAACAGTCAGAAACCTATCAGCTAAAGTAATAATAGATAATTCACTTAATTTGGCATCAAAAGGTTTTCACTTAACAGCAATATGTGCTCAGCCTAACCAACCATTAGTCGTGCGCCACATTCAGCCTGAGGAACAAATGACATTTATAATCTCTCGCTCTGGGCCCTAAACTCATTAAAATACATTACTAGTCTTGTCATATTGGATATAGATGATGGCCCAAATGATGTATATTAAGCCTGCCGCCCTTTTTAGGACATGACCTGCATTTAAAGAAACTTGGATCTATACAATACTAATCAGGGTCGTCTTGTATAGATGTTTTAATCTTAATGGGTATGAATAAAAAGCCTGTAGTGAATGAAAAAATAAATTGGCCGACCTCCTCTGCTGCAAGAAAGCTCCCCACCCCTCTAAGCTAAGGCATTCGATTTCCCAAACCAAGGTATAGTTCATTCAATTTTAAATATCCCCTGTCCCTGAGCACCATGAACATGGCATAGAGATTGTGGGAAGAAATGCAAAACGCGAGTTAAATTATTTCTCCACGGCATCTCTGACAGACGGAGCAGCACCCTGGTCGAGGGGAAGGGAGGGGAGAGCAGGGAGTTAGAGCAGAAAAGGCCCATCTACAGATGGTCAGGGTGGGAGTGTATTGGCAGGAGCACCAGAACACTTCTGCCGTGTCTAGTGGGACTCAGACCGCTCACTGCGACTGGCCTCATTGCAGCCAAGAGCTGAACCCAGATCAGTACAGTACAACTAAGGCTGAGAGACAGAGAGAAAGACTGATAACAGATGTGGCATTACAGCCCACACATACAGAACGTGATATCTAAATGTCACTTGTTGACCAAACAGCAATGGTCCAAGGAAAACAGCAGATCAACAATGTGTTGAAAAGATTCTCTGGGCTGCAGAATCCTAAAAACAGCTCAGGACGCTTAATTTTCTCTTTATAAAATTGGATTCACTCCCAATGTATATAACGACATTAAACTAAATTAGAGGTGGCTATTCATGTCTCCTAAGGGTCTACGATCAATGCAATGGAACTATATTAACTGCAAGCGATGGGATATTGCTGCTTAATAAGCTCTCACAGAAACTGAACAAAAGCTATTTAAACAATAGGCAATGACATTCAGGTCACAAGCATTACTGCAATAATGCAGTCATTGAAAAACAGCTTCATATTAGCATTATGATCATTTTCAAAAAGTCTGAGGGAAAAGAGTCGGTGACAAATAATATTAAAGGTCATATCATTTCACATTTATTTACCTGTTAATGCTTGTCATAAAACAAGCTGGAGGATGTTCCAGTCATTGCTTCATTATGGGAACCATTACAGTGACAGCTAATGGATATTTAGAAGTAATTTCATAAAGAAACATGGTTTATGATTTAAGTTTATGGATGTTCAGCTCCTGTCTGTAGACTTCAGTAATGTCCTGTGCTTGTGTAACTTGTTTATTTTCCATTTCTGACAAACGGCAGAGGAGCCGTTCTATGTGCAGGTGATGGAGCGCAGATAGCGTAATGTCTCGGCTCTGTGGGGCCATATAGAAGGAATGATGCTAACTTGACCCCTCGAGGCTTCCCATTGTGCCTCCGACAGACTCACTGCAAGTGCATTATCTGTGTTGTGATTTACGAGGGAAAGACAACCTTTTCTGGAAGCAGCATGGGACTCGCATATTATCAACATGCAGTTCAAATAAGGACGGGACAGTGAAGCTCTGGCCCTAAAGGGCACTTCAACATAATAGTGCATGACAACTCCGGGAAGGATCCCTTACATACAAATATATTCCATGAGCTTTTTTTTATATTACTTTTTACATATCCTTTTTATAAGTCTGTGAACTACATGACCCTTTCTTGAAAATCTGTGTGATCTAAAGCTCTAGCAGAAAAAGATCTTGAAGGACGAGGTCAAGATCTGGTCTGAAAGCACTAGCTTGAATAAAGCAAACAAGCCAAAGCCTATAAGCTCCTCGCTGACCTTTAGCTACATCGAAGTGAGAATGAATTGAAATGTCTCAGGTTAGGTGTGTATGAAAAATACATGAATAACCTGAGGTATTGAGGTAAAAGATGTATGACTTTGTGACATTGGCTAAGCTGTTTATTATACTTGTGGGAATGTTATTTAACTCCAACAGAAGAAGTCTGACTTGAAGGATTGTATTAATACAAAACTCTCATGTCCATAATATACACTAAATGTGTTATTGGTCTCTGTAATCAGCCCTGAAATGTTCCTTTGCTTAGTTAATCTAAAGTAGGAGATGAAGGGAAACAAACAGTCGTATTTTATACAAATCTGTATTTGTGTTTCCTCTATAGTGTCTCCTACATTGTCAGGAAGGAATAATAACCCAAACATGGACTTTAAACTCTGGAAGATATCCACTTTATTTTGCTTGCAGACTTCTGAAGGGATAACTTCATGGCCAAGAGCAATGATTACAGTGACCAATGCCTTTCAGTGGCCATCCTAAAAACAGCAGGACTTTGGTTATGAATCACAAAAGGAACCTCAAAGAAAACGGCTACAAAAAAAGCTGACAGAATTTCGATTACACAAACTTAGTACATTGTTTGGTGTCAGTACAATAATTTGTCATTGGTTGCCTCTGTCAGACACTCAAGGCCCCTTTGTGGTGCTTGAGGAAAGCAATGCCTCCCGTTCCCTTCCCTACTCTGTCTGGAGTATCTCAGCCTTGGGGATGGAAGTGTTTTAGAGGTGGATTGTCAGATCAGATACTGGCTGCCTCGGTATATGTGACATGCTGGAGGCTAAAGGAGAACGGAGGATAACTAATGTCCCCACTGCCTGGATATCGCAGTGACACACAGAAAGTCCACTCATCTCTCTTTTCAGATGGATCCTCATTCTCCTTGTTCCCATTTACACCTCAGCAGATCTATATCTGGACTTCACCCAAAGCAACAGCAGACACGGCAGGAAAAGGAAGGCCGGTGATGGATAAGAACTTGCATAATGATAAGATGGCATGAAATCAAGTGCTATTGACTGTAATGTCTCCGGCAAACATCGATGAGATGAGTTTGAGGAGGCCATGGGAAACACTGCAAATTTGGAAGGAGGTGCTTTGCATGCACTGCAGAGTGTGCTGACTATCTGAAGTTTTTGCAAAAAAACATGGAGGAGGCCTTGTCTTGCAATCTCACAATATACCCAATGTCAGTAATAATTAAAAAGTCTGTGCTTAGAGGTGGAGTGATACACAGAATTGCTGTTGGAGTAATTAGATGATAAAACCTTGAGAGATTAACATACACAGTGCAATGACCATACACACAGTTCAGGGTAACAAGTTATGTTCTACACCTCAGTTATCTTGCCTCACACTTTTTGTAATCTCCATACATACATTACCAATTAGGTGAGATGTGACATATTTGTCAATGTGTTCTCAAATGCTCTGTCAAACAGTGTAACGAATGTGTGTGCAAATTGCTAAGTACTTGCTTCTCTGATGTCATTTCATATCATTTATTGTGGCACACAAACCATCTTCTTCGATTTTCCTCTCTTGATTGACAGTGTGACATTATCATCAACATGGCCCTAAAGGGCTGTGCACATTATTTCCCCCAGTTTTCTGGTTTTTCATATGAGCAGCAGAGAGAGAAGTGTTATTAGATTTTTTTTAAAAAGAATTCACACTGGTTTGCTATAATGAGTTGTTACTGAATCCCTGTGTATTCTCCACACTTGTCAGCCATGGGGACACTGTCTTTCATTATCTTCCCGCTGCTGTCTGTCTTTCTAAACCATGCAAAGGGCTGTGTGCAAGATCCAGTGGGATGCTGAGGGTTCTCCAGGATATCAACCAAGACACTGGGAGTGGGTTTCTCCCTTCAAAGACCTCATGTAATAGAAAGCCTGTATGTAAAAGGGATGTTTTGGGGGCTAAATTATAAACAATCCCCTCACTTGGTTAGCAGATTTGCTCCCCAGCAGTGGGAGTTTCCAATCTAACTAAACATAACTGATTTCCCTATGATTATAGTGAGAAGGTCTGTGTAATTAAGGCATTGATCAGACTGCATGACATAAATATAGGCTACTTCTCACAGTTATGCGATTTTCTTTGTATTTCCTTGACTTACTTGTTCTGGTCCCTGGAAGCAGATCCTGCACAGCGGGGTCCTGAAGCCGCTCTCAGAGTAGCTGGTGAGGGAGAACCGCTCCTCCAGTTTGCCCTTTGAGCAGTCATCGGAGGAGCTGCTGCAGCCGCGCAAGGCCACCGACAGCTCGGCAGCATCCACCCAGCCCGACCGCTCTCCGCCCGGCGGCCCGGGGGCTCCCGCTACAGGGGGGGTAACCCGGTCCCCTGCGGGCTGGTGGCTCCTCGTTAACGTATTGTTATTGTCGGGGATGGCAACGCCTGTTTGATGGCTTTCAGTTCCTTGGACGCTCATGGGGGTCAGCGGAGAAAGAGATGTCGGTGGCCCGAGAAGGAGCACCCTCAGGTCACCGAGCAGGACGCAGCAGCGGCTCTTCAGCATGCCCTGGCTGCGCAGCATCAGGCTGAACCGGCCACAAACTCACAGCACCATGCAGAGGTGCTGGAAGAAGACAGCATGTACTGGATATGTCTCCGTCATGAGCCAACACTTTCTCATATGGGGTCGTTGGGGTGCGTTTTCCAGCGTGTGTTGGGGCTTAAAGAAGTCTGCAGTTCTCTTTGTTGATTTATTGAAAGTAGCCTATGTTATTGTTTCACGAGAATGTACATCCAAAAGGCAAACAAATCCCATCGATGCAAACAAGTGTCTGAAGCCATTAAGTTCAATAAATGTCACAGCTAAAAGAGGAAAGGAAAATGTTAGATTGATAGGCATATGCATTCAAGTAATAAGGCTACGGCTCGTTCACTCAGTGCCCACTGTCATTCATGGCTGTAATGGTCAGTTCTGTACAACATAAACTATTTCGACAGGCTTTTCCCTCCAGATTCACGACGAGTGCACAAAGCAAACTATCACATATGCCTTGTAGTACAATGGGCTGATATTGACTAACAAAATGCCAGCGGTTAATCTGTAAATTCAAATATTCCAACACCGAAATGCACACACTTAATCAGCAGAGCTCTCAGGCTTTCAAATCAATCGATGTCGTGCCACGAAGCGAAATATATCTTACCTGGCGAGCTATCCCGATTTCCACAGACTTAATGCTTACAGTTTATTTATTTTTTGATAGATCTCCTGCCGACTGCAGGTCGCTGGCAAGTGTGCTTACATCCCCAATTGTCGCATTTCCATGTCCGAGGAACAAGCCGATGGGTTTACATCCCTCCGTTAAAATCCAACAGCATTGTAGGACTGTCCTGCCCCGGGTGAAAGCATCCGTTGCCCCGGATTGTCCTGTGATCATTGGCTGCTGAAAAGGTGCTGCAGCCTCAGCACCATGATTCCTGGGACAGCTCCCAGACGCCGCACGTCACCTCCGCACAGTGATGCAAGCAGCCAACTCATTACAACTGAGACAAATGCACATGCAGGAAAATGGTATATCACTACTTTTAGCCAAGTCATTCATCACTATAGAAGGATGCATTATGTTAAAGGTCAGGTTCATGTTTTATTCCCAAAGAATAGCTTCCATCATGCAAACAGAAAGCAGAAATTATTAATTAAACAGCTCAATTATCAGGCAACACATGGCCAACACAAATTATTCATAAAAGCTCAGCTAAATAGTGTCACTTTGTTCAGCACAAATATCAATTAGGTTGAAAGTGCATGGTTAAAACCTAAACAAGGATCACATCTGCAAAGGGAAACATGCATGGCAGGCTACTCAAATTAGGAAAAGCAATTTATTCTGCTCATTATCGTCAATTAAAAAAACAAACAATGGCCTTAAAACACTAAACTAGAGATGGAAAAAGTATTTAGATTGTTTGCTTGATTAAAAGTGGCTTACTAAAATGCAAAAACAGATTATTGTTTGTCATGCATGCAAGAAGGGTTTAAATGTTATAAATTAAGATAATTTATAGTCCTACTTTATATATTGTTGAATATTATTTAATGTATGCCAACAAACTGAGACAAGTCCTAACCCCTGCTGCTTTTCTGCCAGCAGGTAATTGCCGAGTAAGTGTCTGATAAAATAACTATTGAATACAACAGGGATGGAAGACAGCTGGATCAACAACACAACAAATTGGAGAAAAATGTTTCTATTGTTGATATGGTGTAAAGTAACAAACTACATTTACTCTAGCACTATACAACTTTGAGGTACTTGTACTTAAGTTAAGCATTACATTGTTTTTCTACTTTTTACTTCTACTCCACTACAATTCAGAGGTAATTCGTGTATTTCTACTCCATGTATGTATTTAATAGCACCTAGGTTAATTTGCAGATTTGGATTATAATAAACACTTACATTACTTGAGTAACATTGAGTAACATGGAGTAACATTCACAAGCTACCCTGCAGCATACAAAGTAAGTATTATTACTGTAGCTGCACCTTTACCAGCTTTGATAACACTTTAATCAATCAATATTTGGATTCAACTGAACCTGAAATGGGCCAACCTGCATAATGAGTAGGCTACTTTTACTTTTGGTACTTTAAGTATATTTTCATGCCAATACTTTTCTACTTTTACTTAAGTCACATTTTAATTGAAGGACTTGTAGTTGAACCAGAGTATTCATACACTCTGGTACTTCTCCACTGACTCAAGTACAAGATCTAACCCAGTCTAATATATTGATATACTTCAGTTGGAAGTCTCTCCTGTCTCTACACTGCCAAGCAACCGACGCCTTCTCCACGTGCCCGCTTGTTTTTCTACGTCACTTCCTGCGCGGCAGTCCCTTCTCGAACCAGCTAACTTTTAGCAACATATGTCAACTAGCTTCAAATGTATCGCCCTGCGTTGTTCTTAGACACTTTTAAATTCTTGCAGTCTTTAGATGGCACTGTTTGTCATGTGATATCCGAATAAGTGCTCACTTAAACCGCTGTCGACATATTTCTAGCTTATGTTGCTCAGTTTGACTGCCGCGCTAGCAACGTTAGCAAAGGAGGCTGCGGTTAAAGTTGACTAACTTTTAGGATATAGTTGTATTGATAGTCCTTTCATTGCATGGATCATGTGTTTGTAGGTAATTCAAAGTGTTGGCTAACTCTGAGAGCCTCGTTAGTAGTGTGTTTACGTTAGTTGCAGCTAAGTAAACAATCATCATGTCTAATCAGCTGACGACAGAGCAGCAGCGAAAGATCGATGAAAACAGACGCAGAGCTTTGGAGAGAAGAGCACAAAGACTTGGACACACTATCAGCGACAATAAGCAGACCTCGGCAGACTCCACCAGTACTTCAGTGCAGGTACAGACCTCCAAACGTCGACTCGACCCTGATCCTGCTGCTGCTCCTCAAAGAGAAACCCTGAGCTCAGCTTCTGCACCTAAACGGTTTGTTCCGCCCTTCAAAAAAGACTCTGGTTCAAAGCAACAGCTATTATCTACATCTGGCAACAAAATCCACCAGAATACTACCTCTGCATCTACCAGACAGGTAAGATGTGTGCTGTAATGTTCAATCACTTATTATTTAGAGTTAAAAAAAAAAGAAGTATTTCTTAACTATGTGTACTGTCTTTCCTTGAAGATACAAGTCATTGACCCACTTCCTCATCATGTGAGCAGCCCTGGAGGAAGCTTTGGTGTGAAGCCAGCTCACCCCAAACCAAACCTAACCTCCAACAGCTCTGATGGTGCAGTTGTGCCTTTCTACAAGCAAACCAGTAAACCCTGCCAGAGTCCCGTGGCACCGCTTTCCTCCCCCTCATCAACTTTCAATGCTGTACCTGCAAAAAAGCCTGCCATCTCTGTAAGAGGAAAATGTGTAGCTCACACAGAGGGCCGCTTCAGAGTAGAAGTGGGCTACCACGCCCAGCTGATTGTCGTTTTCAAATCCATCCCATCAAAGAACTATGGTAAGTGGCAGACTGTTCAACGATAGCTTTATGGTCCGAGCAAAGGGGGAATAAGGGTCTATTTCCAATTTATTGTATATTAAACAACTGCAGAATTAACACTTAATTGCATATAAAATTGTTAGCGCTCTAGTTTTGAATTGGAGAGTTGTTCATGTTTATTTGTATTTTGGACTTATACCATAAAAATACTGGCATGCATTTTGAAAATGGCCATAGTTCCCCTCAACCATAAGCCCCATTTATTTCATATGCCTCACACAGAAATAAACAAGGCGGTATGATGATGATGTTAGTTATGTACCGTTATGCACCAAATAGGTCTGTGTATCAAACCTGAGTGATGACTTAATGTTTTGTGTTAGCAGCAGGTGTTGCAATTTTCAAATAATACCCAGCTCTACTGCCACAATTCACCATCTAAACACACAATCACGACAACCTCTCCTGCGAGGCAAAATAACCAATGACTGAACTCACCACTATATAAATAAATCTGGCCATTGTTTCAGAGCTTTCCTCTGCTAAAGAAACCACGTCCTGAAATCTTTCATACTAACCAGTAACAGTTTTCTAGATAAAAATACCACATTTCAAAATGTAGTTATTTGTACCATATGCCTGGTTTGGTGTGTTCATTTCAATGTCTGCGCTGTCTTATAATAAAGTCTTATCTTCTGCATTAGACCCAGCCACAAAGATGTGGAACTTCAGTCTGAAGGACTATCGAGTGCTAAGTATGAACATCAGGGAAATAATCATTTGATGCACTCCTTATTTTCCCATTAGCCTACATTAAAGGCATGAGAGTATTGGTTTTCTTCAGGCTGCTGCTACATCCCCTCTCTTTTCTTTACCCTGTATTGCAGTGGAGGAAGCTGCTGCCGTGGCTTCTGTGTCTTTGCGGCCTCTGGAGGGAATGGAGTCGTTGGACGTGGCGGCAGCCACCAGCGCAGCCTGTGACGGGGCAGCACTGGGGGCGCTGCTGAAGCTGTGTAACGGCTGGCAGAAACCTGGGGCCACAGTGCAGGGCCAGTGCGTCCTGGTGTCCCCGACAAAGTTTGAGGTCGACATCTGTTACCATGCGGACGTGATTGCGGCATGCAAGCAGATGCCAACAAAGAGCTATGGTAAACAGTGAACCTATGCATTTAATATAATTGAATAATGGTGAATTTGTGTGATACTGACTTGTCATTTATGTTGTTGTGTGGCAGACTTGAAAACAAAAAAGTGGAGTTTTTCCCTTGCAGACTACAAGAGACTCTGTGAGTGTCAACATTTGCTTTATTTAGCCTCTTTCCCTCTGTGGTTCTACTGTCTCTGGTACATTTGCCATCTTGTCTGACCGTGCTGTGTTCCATACCCAGTGGATGTCCTCAGTGGGATAGCAGCAGTGGAGGTGGAGCCTCTGCCCAGGGCAATAGTCCAGGCTTTCTCTGCCAGGTTTGATGGGACAGAAGCCAGGTCTTTAGACGTCCCTGAGGCCGACCTCTCCAGCATCGACCCCTCGCTCACCTGCAGCCTTATGCCCTTCCAGAGGGAAGGAGTGAAGTAGGTGCCTTTGGAATGCAATCAGTGCTCTTTTCGCAATAAATCAATACCAAGAGATTGCTATTCATCTAAAATGGGCTCAGTATTGTGCATACAAAGAGAATCTTTTGATAAAAGCCAATATTTCTATGCCATTTCTCTGACTTTTTTCAGATACAGTATGGTAATAGAGAACCGCAGTAATGCGTCCTAAAACCCGGAAGTAAACTCCTTCCGGTTCCTTTCGTCAAAAACCAATGCAATTTCTCCATAGGATTTTGGAAAATAGCTCGAAATAAGGTCTGTGGTTGACACACATTCAAGAGACAGATCACGTTTTGTTCAGCCGGATAATCTCCACATGTCTACCCTACTTTTATAATTTTCTAATCATAAATCTAGTCGCCAGAAGCAAAATGCTAAAGTTATGCTATAAACGAACTACAGCAGGGTCGCTGCTTCAACGTCACACCAACTTAAGATCCATATTCAAAACTACAGATTCAAAATTGTACAAGTTGAAGCGTTTGTTTTAACAGTTTGCAGGAGGCAGGTACTTGCTTTCAAGCAGAACAGGGCAAACAAACTTAGCGGGAGTGTTTTACGTGTTCGGTGTAATGACGTAAAACGGCCTCGACAACTTCTGTGGTCCTATTCAGCCACTTGTTAACAACCATCGCTTTTCAGACACGTAAACTCTTCAAAAATCACCAGCGGGGTCACTGCTGATGTATTTGATGTCGTAGAACAAAACGTGATCTGTCTCTTAAATTTGTGTCAAACACAGACTTTATTTCGAGCTATTTTCCAAAATCCTATGGAGAAATTGCATTGCTTTTTGTCGAAGGAAGTGGTAAAAATGCTAACTTACTTCCGGGTTTTAGGACGCGTCACTGCGGTTCTCTATAGATGAGATAATGGGCTGGATCAGTTTTACTTCCACTCACTGTGCTGCTGTAGCTTTTAATTTGAGCATTTTCTTGTGTCCCTGTAGTTTTGCAGTGTCTAAACAAGGTCGCCTCCTCCTGGCGGATGACATGGGCCTGGGGAAGACGGTGCAGGCCATCTGTATAGCAGCTTACTACAGGAATGAGTGGCCTCTGCTGGTGGTGGCTCCCTCCTCTGTGCGATTCACCTGGGCCGAGGTAAAAAAAAAAATTCTGCAGAGTGAGCTTTAAAAGAGAAAATGGCTTAGTAAGTGTCAAAGGTTATCACTTTGTTTCGATTTAATTGTGTCATCAGTCTGAATTAATTCAGCAGTTATCGTCTTAATGATATTCTCCTGGCCTCCTTTGACAAATGTGTTGCCTTACACATTGTATCGCTGCTTAAATCTCATCATCTGCATTCTAGGAATGTTCATACTGTTCCCCAAGGACTGCTTGACGCTGTTAAGTACTTTATCTTCAGTAGGGCAGTTGGCAGTATTGAATTCTTCGCATCCATTTTCTTCTCTCATAGGTGATGATTTGGATTGTGAAGGAATTGATTTATACAAGATATGCTTAAATAGCGTATTAATTTGGCCATTATTAATGATAAAGATCTGCTTCCCTGGATTTTTCTAATATAGCTTGTACCATATTATTATAACTATAGTATGTTGGATGGACTTTTAGGTATTTCCCCCTTATTTGATATAATACATTAGAAAGTCAGACTGGTCTAAGACCACAAGGTCATTATAATGTCCCAACACTTCCTTGAATATTAGTGTCTTTTTGTCACTGTTTTCCTTCCATAGTTTCAATGGTGTCTACCTAATTTCATGTGTCCCCTTTTCTCTGGTATGTTTCTCATCTTCTGTAGCTTCTATTCTCTGCTTTAACTCACAGCAGCATTACCAACCTGCCACTAGCGGCACATTTTGAGCAGAGCTTTACTTGGCCTTTTGTCTATTGACAAGACAAGACTGTCTGCTCTCTAAATAGATATCTTGGATCAAACACAGTCCCCCAATCAGGAGTTGGAATCGCAGAGGGGGTTTAGTCACCGGAAGCCGGCCCATTAAAGGGACTTTACTCTGTCTGGCTCTTATCTCCACTGTTAGTCTTTGGCCACATCTACTGCAAAACATGGGAGCTATAACTTAGTGAGTGTAAGCCAGGTTGACAGGCGCATGGAGAGGAAGTAGATGAACTGTCAGAAAGATTTGGGCCACAGGGGATTTTTTCTTAACGACATAATTGGTTATTTTTTAATTGGAAAGGCTGTGATATCAGTTTGTGAATTATTGGTGATTAGTATAATTCAAAGCAGCTGTCAGTCACACAATGATTATGATGGTGTTCATATTAAATGTCAGAGTCTGACTTATTCCCAGCAGTAGGGGATAAAGTAG